AAAAAGATTCGTTACTATACGTCAGTAATTTCGGATAGTGATAGCTGCCTAATTCTAATTCTGTCGTCAAGCGGCAAAAATTTCTAAACCATACTAATAGCCAATGGAACAGAATGGAGCTTAACTGGAATTAATGTGCGCTCACCACTTAATTATTTACAGGTAATATGAAATCGAAGTTGATTAATTATGAAAATTATCTGAAATATAAATATAGCATAAAATAAATGGAAAGATATGGTAGAATGACTTAGTGGGCTGTCGTTCGATTGGAAGCGCCAATGCTGAGGTTCGATTCCCCGTAGGAATAAACCTGTATATCCGAGTGAAAATCCGAGCGACTCACCTGTATTTCTATCGCCAAGGGACTTCCTGGCATATTTGTCCAATAAGCAAGCAGAGCGCGTTTAATCAATAATGGTCAGCACTCTTTAAAAAAAATGGAACATTACTGAAAAGTTGAATACTTTGCGGATTTTTTCCATTATAAAAATGGTTTTTAATTTTTTATCCCTTATAAGTTCACTCGAAACACCAAATTCTTCTTTTTCGCCTTTAAATTCAAAGAAAAAAATTGATTTTACGAGTGATGACAAAAGTAATTGTGCACTTACAAATTCAAAAATTAAATAAAAATGTTTTAGTATTTCACCATTCATTCTTTATTGGAAAGATAAAAAGATAAAAGATAAGATAAGATTCTTTACTGATATCATGTTGATAATCTGTGGAATTAGTCAACTGGAAATACTGATTCTTTCTGGAAGAAGCAAAATTGTTAAGAAATCATTAAGCAAAAAAAAATGAGAAAATGAGAAAACTTCGGCTAAATTTTATACAGTTAAACCAATCCACTATTTTATCATAAATTTCATTGCATTTTTAAAATTTTAATCACTTAAAATCGAGAAACCACTCATGTAAAAATAGAAATTATTTTCGTTTTATTGACTGAACAGCAGCGATGTTATCATTAAGAATCATCAGTGGTTCTGTAATTTGGTAATTCTGGAATCCTAGTATCCTTCAATCCCAAAATCCTTTCTTGGCAAGACGAGTTTAGCTAGAAATGACAGATAATGACAGATATTGGCCAATTATTTTTGTATATATCAAGGATACAAATAACAAATGCTACTTATTAAATTGATATATTTATAGGGTAAATATTCTGTCTCATTTAAAAGCTAAAATATTAAATTGTAATCGAGATTATTAAACACGTGTGTGCTCATCGAGCCATAACTCAGTAGGGTGCTTATCCCCTATTAATGAACGTCGTTGTTTAGTGGTATTTACCAGAGAGATTAATGTTATGACCTTTTCAATGTTATTAAGTAATCCACTGATCAGGCGAAAAATTAATTCGATGAACTCTTCTATTCTTCAGTTGAAGAAATGTAATATAATATTGTCATAATTAAGAAAAAATACAAAAGATATTGATGCTTATCACATATAAGAAATAATGGGAGATTCTCAAGGATCAATATGAAGAATAAAAGCACTATAGAATTTTTGATTTGACTTATGATTGACAAGTTTCACACTTCTTTTTGTAATTCTTAAGATTAATAATGTATAAAGGTGAATTAAGTGAGCAGAGCACTTAGATTATTGATAGGATCGGAATCAACTCTTTCAACTCTTATCATCTCGAATCCTGAAAAGTTATTTTAAAGTTTTTACCTATAAAATACTTGTTATTATTTCTGATTTGGCTAGCTGATAGCTAGAATCAGATTTTTTCGATAAAGAATCTCTTAAGGATAAGGATAAGGATTAAGTGCAGCACCAACCAGATTTTACCTTTAATAACAAGTTTAATTTCTATCAGTGGATAGTAATCGAATTTGTAATAATTTAAAGCAGCCTATCACTTGTCTATCACTTGCCTTTTGCAGGGCTGATTAATTTTCATTTCTTTTTGACAAGCATATTTCTAAATAAATAAATATGAGTAAACTTGACGCTAGAGAATTTATGAATATTCAAAAATTGAATTTCGCAGTTCAAATTTGCTTAAAAAACTGTATTAGTTAGGAAAGTGCTAATTTTAGTAAACCACATGTTTAACATGCAAAAATAGTCAAAAAATTTTATTTCAATTTTCAATTTTTAATATATTATGAATATATTATGTATATATTCAAAAATATATTATGAAAGTCGCATGAAAATCGTAAAAGAAAAATAAATTTTACCAGAATTTTCTATTATTTTTCAAGCCTTGCACATTTTTTGTCAAAAATTCAAATATCTTTTTGATAACTTTCAAATAATCTGAAGTTCGAACAATGCCATACTTCCTTGTAAATAAGTGGTTAGCAGAGATGTTAGCCTTTCTTCTGGCAGGAGAAGGAACTGAAGGAATCTTTCCTCTCAACAAAATAATCTAAATCCATATTAAAACATTTGTTGTGTTTCCCACTTTTCATTGATGCTGACTGGAATAACATTCATTATTTTGTCGTTTTAGAAAAAGTAAGTTTTTGTAAGAACTCAAAAATTTTAATAATTTGTTGTATTTTCATTTCATATATCAGAAATACTTTTAGAAGGCAGTGTTTCTATATGGATAATAATTTTTCTCTTTTCTACCTGTGGTTGATCATGATCATCCTCAACCTCAGATCCTTTACTTGAGACCTGAGAGATTGAGGATTCTGCGCATCTTAGCTGTTCCTAATAATGCGCTCTTCTGGATAGAGATCTCTGATGTTGTTCCTGGAATTTGCTAAAATTACCTTTCCAATTTAAAGATTACAATTCTAAGTGCTACAATTATCACTAGGAGTACTTTGGCCTTTAATTTCCACATCTTCCCTAGTTTCTCTTACAGCTCTTACCTTCTCTAATTTCTTATATAACTTCTTTCTGGCGTTCCTGTCGCTTGGTACTGTTATATCAATCACCAGTGCTGATTGTTACTTGTTTATTAACTAGTTAATTGGCCAGTACTTTTTCGGTTGCGATGGAGGAAGTCCCTGATCGTCTTTTTATTCTCTATGATTTTCTACATATATTTAATATATAAAATGTGTTATATATATTTATATATATATACATACATAAAATATCAAATCAAATATGAGAGGTTTTGTTGGTCTGAAAATTATATTGTTTTCTATTTTTTTGTTGCCTACGATTGAATCTATGGATCTCCAAAGTTCGAAACCGAAAGACGAAAGGGTCTCAATGTGTTGACCAGTTCTGATCGCCGAACCTGAAATTCTACACCAAATAGGAATATAGGAATATATATATTTACACAAAATCCTGTCTCTCAAAAATCCAAATGGTACTAAAGCAACGAAATCATCAAGTGATTCCTTGACAAAAATTTTATTGGTCCCACAAGACATTGAATCGAGCCAATTCGAAACTCTTTTCTTTAAAAAAGGAAGATAAAGAATTTGTACATTTCGTAAAAATCGCGATATTAATTTATTCAACTTGACTGAGCAGCAGTAATTATTAACAAATAATGATAATAATAAGTCATCATAATTTGCTCCAAAATTTAATTTATTAGACGATTGTGCAATGATTTGTATGAACTGATTTATTCTTATATATTTCAATTTTGCAACAATTGTTAACCAATGCAATCTAGTCGTGAAGTTCATTAGTCATGAAACGTTAATTATGACGATTTGCACTTTATATGGGACTATTTCTTGAATTATTCCGCTTGACCGGATTTGTAGTGTATCTTGATGGTCAATTTGGTGGGAGAACGATTTTCATCGTCCATTGTATTCTATATTGGCTGGAATGTATGGGAATCTACGATTCATCAATCGTCCATAACCACAATAATCGAATATTTTCTCAGTGATCAGCAAATTAGTGATAAAACACTTTACTAAAAGATATAAGGGATAAAACGTCGTAAAAAAAAAAATCCCTCTTATTACTGTATTTATATTTCAATATTCATATTTATAGTATTATGGTAATATTTTAATTTTTCTTATTCCAATAGTATTTATTTTCTATGGTTTTATACTAATAAGACGAAAATCTTTTGCTTTGCCGGAGGCTTATTTGCCGAAACAAGTTAATTGATTCGTCCATAGGACTATTAAAAAAAAGGAACTATTTTTTAATTCGTTTTAAATTAGTTGATTAGCTAAAAAATAGAAAAAAATTGCTTAGTTATTTTAGAGCAAAAAATTTCGAAAATAAACGTAAATATTATAAAGAAAAATTATAATTTATTGGAGATGGACTTGGTGTTGATTTAAGAAAATAGTCAACCAAATTTCGATTCTTAAAATATACCATTTAATCTTATAATTACTTCTCTGTAATATGAAACGACTGAGGTCGAGAATTAACACGACGATTTGCTCTATTCCAAGTTCTCTTATCCTTATCCTTAACACTGTTCACCTATCATCACATGCATCGATGAAAATCGTTTCGTTAATTTTTCTCTTATTGAATTTCGAAATCAAAAACAATAATAAAAGAATAAATGTAAAGGGAAAGTTTTATACAATTTGGCCATTTAATTATTTGTTCATCGATTAATCGTTTAATTTTCAGTTATTCCCAGAAAACCAAGAAAATCTTCGAGAATTTATTTTCAGCATTGGATAGCCATTATAGCTTTTTATTACTAATTTTTCATTTGCAGCCATTTTTTTGAAGGACTATTTTGGCACTAAATTTTTCAAATAGCTAGAAAATATTTTTAAGCAGAAATCGGAACATTTTTATAACCATTTTAATGCTTTGAATTTGTGAAAAATTTAGAACCACTTGAATTTTCTTTGAATTTTTTTTTTCATGATTTCTGATTAAAAGCTTCAAAAATTCTGTTGATTGCCTTTTAATTTTTTGGCAAAAACTGGTTTATCTCTTTGTGTGATATTTTTTGTTATGTTATAATATGTTATACTAGAAATTAATGAATGCTTCATTTATGATTGAACATATCACTGCGGACATATTTTCGAAAAAATATGAATATATTATAATCAAAATATGAATTAATGAGTTCGACTGACGTACTTCTTGCGTACACGTCGATGGCGACCAACATGACGTGAATATTGATCAGATTGTCTATAAGTTGGTTCAGCAACAATAGCAGCAGTCTGCACAGATCTCGGAGGACATGGACAATAAGCAGCATCACTACCCGGAACACCGACAGTACCAGGCTAAAACTGGATCATATTTTCTAAGAAAAGAAATCATTTTCCTCAGAAATGCTAATTTTGCAGCAAACCAACTATTTAATGATCTAGTGGTGGAAATAAGAAAAGATTTATTTCGATAGCAAACTTACAACTCCAGGTTGTCCTGGCTTTCCATCCAATCCTGGCAATCCAGGCTGGCCAGGAGGTCCCATGGGCCCTTGAGCTCCAGGTAAACCAGGCGCTCCATTGGCACCTTGTTTACCTGGTAAACCAGGAGGTCCAGGCGGCCCTTTCGGCCCTGGCGTTCCTTTGCTAACAACCCCTGGCGCTCCAGGAGGCCCTGCAGGTCCGATACTTCCAGCGGGTCCTGAAATATAATTTGCTCAAGAAAACTATAAACAAAAACTATCTTTCCAAAATTGATAAAGAATTAACCTGGTGGTCCTTGGTCACCGACAGGTCCAGGCAGCCCGGGTGGTCCAGGAAAGCCATGATTTCCAGGAATTCCTGGAAGACCATCGGGTCCAGGAGGTCCAGGAGGCCCATCAAGTCCTGGAGGTCCGGGAGGTCCGGCTGGGCAAGCAATACAGCCTCCTCTAGTGTCTGGCCCATACATCACAGCTATTCCATTGATTCCGGGACGTCCATCTTCTCCACGTTCTCCAGGTTCTAAATAAAGAATGATAGCAAGAAAAGAAAAAAAGAAATCCAGCCGAATTTTAAAATCGAATGCAAAATAAAAGTACCTCCAGGAATACCAGGCAAACCAGGTGGACCAGGTGGACCAGGAGGACAAGTAACTGGCTGAAGAGCACAAGCTGAAAATTGAAATTTAAAAGTCAATGTAATAAATCACCTATGTTCCAATTTTAAAAAAAAGCATGACAATAAATATTAGAAAAATATATTTACCGCAATGAGCTTGACGTTTATCACGTCGTTTTCCGGTCAACGTTTCAAATACACTTGGACGTTTAGCATTTTCAGTTTTACGAGCTGAGTTAATCATCATTAATTCATCCCATGCATCATTTGCTAATGTCTATAAAGTATTATTTTAAAAGGTAAAGAGAAATAAAATAGATATCTAAAGATAAATAAAAAATTTAATTTCTTCTAAAATCCCAAAAACTTTAAGAAAAAGTTACCTTGAAGTCGTTCATATCTCCCAGAACATCATAATAAAAGCTGTTAATGTCCTGGAAGATCATACCAACAGTAATGAGAGACACAACGATTATAGCACCACTAGCTGCCGAAGCAATGTTTACCAGCAAATGAGTGCCCATTCTGCAAAAAAATTCACCTCTCAAAATTATCTACGCAAAATAATTTTAAAAATCAATCTTAATTAGCAGAAATGTGCTGAAAATCTCTTCGAACTTTAAATGCCTACTTTCATACTACTAAAGTAAATCAAAATCTCCCAATTCGCTCAAATTTTTCAAAATTTTAGAATGGAAAAGAAGCGAAAAAAGACGAAAGACGACTGAACGAAGTTTCGCCATTCCTTTTATAGTGTTTTCGTTGGGAGTTCATAACTATTAAAACAGGTTTTGCTAGAAAAAACTGCAAAAATCTTATCATTAATATTAATTTGAAAAAAAAAAAATGAAAAAGTGAGAGAATGAAACAGAAAAGAATCTTTGAAAAGAAAAAAAAAATTCAACGAAAAATTATATTTAAATAATATTTTTTTTTCAGAATTTTTGAGAAATATTTCTATTAGATATGATAAGAAAAAAAAATCCAAATTTTTGGAATAAATTTTTGACGAATAAACCTTAAATTAGACCAAAATTGAACTCCTCTCTCATTCCTTTAAGGACTCTTATAAATTGCCAATAAAGCTGGTTTCGCTGTCTAAAAAATCGTTAATTTTTATTTTTTGAAAAAATTAATTGAATTAATTTAAAAATGTTTCTCAAAAAATAAGGCGAAGATTTGATGTCAATTTAAAATGTCGCATTTTGTTGTTAAATTTTTGTATTCGAACTAGTTTTCGAATAAATTTTGAATTTTTTTGCTGCGGCTGAAATCTTTTCGATGATTTAGAGAGTCTTTAAAGAAGAATTTCTTTTTTTTAGAAACGAGTACTTCTAAGGAACCAATTCTGAGACTGCTGGCTGCTGGCTGATATAAAATATTTATGAATTGACTCGACTCTAATTTTTAATATTTCATTAAAAATAAGAAATCAAAAGAAAATATACTCCCAGCCTTTTCTACAGATTTAAATCAAACACGATATAAGTAATTAAATATTTTAAACAAAAAAGATAAATTGATAAAAACAAATAATAGGATAATAGACAATGTTGATTGGGAAATTTCTATACAAACTTTTTTCCTCTTATCATATTTAAATAGTTGAAATAAAAATAAAATAAGTGATTGAATTCGTTCTCGTTAGCTTTGTTAGAAAGATGTGAAAGTATTGTGGGGTTATTTAGCGACAAAATTATAGATAGCTTTTCAATATCCTCCCCCTCCCCGGATTTCTTAATGATAGGTTTACCACTGCCAATTGCTCCAAAACGAAAATTTTGACAACTATTAGCGATTTCTTGCCTCTAGCATTAAAATTAAAACTTTTTATTAAAATTCAACTAATAAATTTTTGAAAAATTACTTAAAAATTTTAAAATCTACAACGATTTTTCCTTTTAAACCAATATTTACCTATCTAATGCATTTATAACAAGAAAGCACCAACCAAAAAATATTAAAATTTCAGGCTTTCAATTTCAAGTGAATCTCGCGAAAATTCTTTTCTATTATCACTGTTATTTCTCTATTATTTTATATATTGGTGCTTAGCGCCACTGATAAATGGATAGCGCTTATCGCAAAGTTTTCTTATATGAATTGATTCATATTTCTTTGTGATTATATTTTCATGAAATATAACTGTTATATAACTTCTTATCATTCAACGCATCATTCGCGAATTTGGAAAAAAATAATTTTTTTTAAAAAAGATAGATTGGAATAGAAAGATGGAAAAGTTGAAGTGTATCACTCTATTAAATTTTTATAGTTTTAAGAAAAATTTAATAGAAGAAATGAATAAAAAAGCACAGAATTTATTGATGCATCAGAAAAAAAACAGGCTAGCGAAATAATAAACTGGAAAGCCAAACGACAAAAAAAAACTAGATATAACCGTAAATGAATCGAGGGTCACGCAGCAATTAGATTTTACGATCATAGATTTTTAATAAAATAAAGAGGCTGATGAAGAAAGAAACACTGCAAACACTTCTAAATACTTCGGCTCATCGATAACTCTGGAATAATCTTTAAAAATAATTTGGAAGTAAAAGTAATTTGGAAGTAAAGTAGAAAGTAAGCAAAAAAGGGTGAAATAAAAGAAAAAGTAGAATTTTTAACTAATCTTCTCCAAAAAAATTCTCGGACAATGATAGGAAATTGATTTTTATCATCCAATTATCATTCTGCTATTTGCTTATCTTCTATTTCATCTAACATTATTCTTGCTGAATTCTTGGTTCCCTTTATCACTGCTAGGCTTTTTCACTTGAAAACTCAAGTATAAGCGTATTTCCCGCACTGCCTTGATTGCACTTTCAGTAATTCTTGTCAAGAGGCGAAAAAAGAACTGAAATTAATGCATAAAATCGAATTAAGAAGTAATTAGTAATTTAGTAATCAAAGAAGATTTCAAATCAGTGGAACCAGGCCAGGTTAATGTGGTGAAAATTAGTCAGTGAATGCAGCATTGAAATTATCGAAACCAGAATTGTCACTTGCTTGCCTGCATATGGTACTATCGCCACACTATTGTGGTAAAAAATATTTTAAAGTAGAACAACAACCACATGAAATCAGTGCAACCAAAAACTACTGCGACCATTATATTATAAATATTATTACCCTAATGGCTAAATGGTTCCAAATTCCCAACATGGAATTAAGATTTCGTAGATCCAATTAAGCTATTATCAGTGCAAGCATGAAGCATCACCGCTCGTCTCCTATTCTGGATGAGATCTGAAACCATTACAACATTGCGATCCAAAATCTGTAAAGCCTGAAATCAGTGGAATTAAAAATAGGATAGGACATTTAAATCAAAATAATATTCATAAGATCTAAGAAATTTTTTTAAAATTCATTTAATTCTATAAATCCTTTAAATTAGTTTAACTGAAATTATTTTAAATCAAATACGCCAACTTGATAGTTAATTTGGTATAAAAAAAGATCTGCAATCGGCTAATAGACCTGTCTACGCCCAAATAGTACCAAACCCCCACCCAATACTATCCACCAATCCCAATTTAACCATAATCCTACACTTCCAGCCGACTCTCAACTCGTCCTTAAGGCACTGAATCTGCTGAATTTTAGTGTTCAACTGCATTTTAGCAATCTACCCACGATTATAGCGGACGAGCGTGATGGATGGTACCCTCCTGAAATGGGAGAGAGTAATAGGTGATGATTCCATGAAATTTATTGACATTGGTGGTGGTGAGTATTTTCTTCAAAGTTATTACTTAAAAATTGTTTGAATCTTATTAAAATATTTTTTTACAGTTGATTATTATTGATTTTTTGTATTTTTTAAAATTCGTAGGATTTTAAACATTTTTTTCGCATTTTTATTTTTTAATATATTTATATTTACTATTAATTCCTTTCATTTCTTTTGTTGTTAATCTTTTATTATTAAAAAATATTTTAAAATTATTTTTTATTATTTTAGTTTTTGTAATTTCGATATTTTTTGTTATAAATATTTTCTTTATTTTATTTTCATTATTTACTAATTTTATATTTTATATTTTTACCGATTTTATTTTTTTTCCTTTCATAGAAAATGAAGAAATTTCGGTCGTTTCACCAATATTTCGTGAAATTTCACCGAAAACAACAAATCGCGAACGAAAAAATCATATTTTGGCGACAATTCAACGTATTATCGATAAAAAAGAAGAATTCGTAAAAGCTGATGAGCTTTTAATGCATAAAGAATATCATTTTAGTTTTGAAAAATTACGAAGAAGAAAAAAACGTTTGGTGCGAGGTGACTTTATGACTTTATTTCTTTCAATATCTTTATACCTATTTAATAAATGCTTGGAAAGGAAGCGCGATTGATGCCTTAAATTGCAAGAGTTCACCGTAAATTGAAAACCATTCGATGTGCCTAAAAACCTCTCTTATATTTTATAAAAATTCGGAATTCAAAATTCAAAATTCAGCATGATTTTCCTTTAATATCTGCAGTTTGAATTGCTAAAATATTATCATTAGCGCCAACGTTGGATTCCATTTAAGCAAATTGAAAAATTCTTCTTCATGTGCCCAAAACCCTTTTATTTCATTTTAATAATCTGCCAGACCCTTTTGCCTTTTCTTGCCATAGCTGATTAATAATTTCATTGGATCGCTTATACTATTCTACTCGTTTAGATTCCGTTATGATCGTGAAATTCCGCAGCATTGTTTCGTGCCTTTGATAAATCTTTATCCATCCCTTATATTTATTTGCTACAGTCCATTAACACTGCAATATTCTCATTTTCCTATGATCAAACGGCACTATCCTACTACATCTTTTTCATCATATTATATAATGCTCTTTTTTTGCAAATCCTTATTTACTTTAAAAAATAATATCAGGATCAAAGATGAGATGATGGGATCCATTCCACTGTGAGACGGCTTATTGATTTTGATCTTTTGTGCCTGAAAATTTCCTTTTGTATGCGCTTATTTGAATCGGATTATTGTCCGTAGGATGGGTATTTTTTCTTATCTTCTATCCCTTTTATTTATCCTATTTTTATTACTTATCGGTTTTATTATTTATTATTATATTTGATTACTTTCCTATAAGGATTTTATTTATTTTCTGATTTACGTTTGTTGTGATAATAATTGATATAAAATATTAAATTTTAGCTAATAATAATTTTACACAAGAATCAAAGGTAACTGAAGAGAACAACATTAATCAGTATGGAAATGGTTTGTCATTTAAATACTATTATTATTATTAATAATGAAAATAAATAATTGCAGTAAATAATGGATAAATAATAACAAATAATTATAAGTGATGTATGGTTGAGTTTTCATTCTTTTAATTTTCACTTTGAAAAAATGCTTTTTGAATGATAATAAATAATATTAAATAATATTTTTAATATTTTAATAATAATATTTTAATGAATAATATTTTTTGAATAACAGAATAATAAATAGCTTGAAAATAAAATAAGATTATTTAGCTAGTCTTTCTTAAAATGACCGCTGTGATAATAAAATAAAATTTAAGCTCCTTTTTTGATGGAAATAGATTCAAAAATTAAAAAAGAATGTGAAAAAATCGCTAAAGAAATTTTAGCAGAAATCGAAAATTCAGAAAAGAAACGCAAGGTAATCTGTTGAAGTATTCTGCATGAACATATTATCACGTTATTGATATCATTTTTTTACAACCACATTTCGATTTGTGATACGTATCCATATAAAACAATATACATTTTTTTGGACTTTATACTTTTGATTAAATTGTTCAATGGAAGGTTTTTAATATTAGTGGTTGAAATAAAATTCATGAATTTGCTTCTAAGCCAAATTTGATTTAATTTGATTCTAAGTTTTAAAATTTTTCGAAATTTTAAATTTTTAACCTTTTATAATTCTTTTGCAGATTTTGGAATTTAAGGAACGAATTAAAAATTTTAGAACAGTCGGATGTGGACTTATCAAGCTGAAAAAAGCAAAAATGAACAAGAATAGCAAAAGCAATGGAAGAGAAATTGACCAGAATTATCGAACATGGAACAAAAAAGTGATTTTCTGTTATGCTATTCGGTTATGTTCTGTTATGGTTTGATTTCTAATTATTGCTTTTTTTAAGAAGGAAAATTGGGGTGATAAACTATTATAGTTCTAGAAAATCTTTAAATTTAGATGTAAATGCACTTTGTATTTTTTTGTTTAAATTTATTATGCAAATTAAATTAAGTTAATAAATAAATTATTAAGCTATAAATAAATGAGTGAATAAATGAATTGATAAATAATAAACAAAATCAACAAAATTAATTTAAAATCAACAATTTTTAGACTGCTGTTAGACCGGAAATCCAAAATGCTTCAGCTTGTCTTTATGGGAACAACAAGTCAGTTGGCACTTTATCTGCAGTTCTGCAGTCCAGTATCATAGGTTTATGTAAAACATTTTCTCATCCAATATTTGCATCAAAAAAATTTTCCGTTTCAAATCGAGCAATATTTTATAGATTTTTCATCAAATTTTTGCAATAGAGAAAATTTGCCATGCATGCAATATGTTAATGCGAGCCAATTTATATCAGAGAATCATGGTAATCCGGAAAGAATACTTGCAAATACAGGGAGTTCTGGTATGGATAGAATATTAGATATATTATCTTTTAATTATGTAAATATGCACACATATTAATGCGTTAATGCATTAATGGTGGATCATTTTTTCTTCATAATATTTCGATGCATTTTAATGATTCAATTTAATGATTAACAATTTAATGAACTAAGTTGCTTCCATTTATTTATGAAAATAAAGGTTTTATTGAAATCTTAGCAGAATATTCCTGTTTTAAAAATTTTTTAATAAATAAATACTTTTAATATGCAATTTAATTTTAGCATTCTGCGGAAATGTCAATTCATCTATTGAACCAAATTCTTTGAAGGAAATTGCATCACATTATACAACTGATAATATTGCTGATGAGACATTTAATACAACATCATCGCATGATATTTCTTCTCAACCGGAAGCTTTCAGTAAATATAGTAAATTTGTGAATAGAGTCAATTTGTGCTCTGCAGCTAATGATAACCTCGAAAATACGGCAAACATATCTCGTAAATCTTATGATCTAATTAGTCTGTAAAAGAGTTTATCGAAACTTCTCGCATAATGATAATTAAATATTTTCTCGCATAGTGAATTTTTTTGAAATTGCAATTTGTATTTTGATTAATTAATCAATTTCATTTCATATATTTAATCTTGAAATATGATTTATTTTTTTTCTCACAAATGTGTATGAAATAAATTCAATTATAATTGTGAATTATTTAATAAATATAATTCAACGAAAAAAATCGAAACGAATATACTCAAAAATATAAATATGAATTATCTGATCGAATGGAAATAAAATATACTAAATAACACGAAAAAAAGAAGTATTACTTCACGCATTTGAAATTTCCACATTGTGAAACTTGATAAACGGCGATAATCGAATCGCTATATTCAATTTGACATATCTAATGAAGAAAAAACGCTTTTAATAATATTGTATAAAACGAGTTTGTATACGAGATTTCGCAGTTTTTTTGTTAACCTAACAGGTTATCAAATTTATTGGTGCAAAAAAAATGAGCATTTCGTGATGAGAAATAGTTAAATCGAACCAATGAAAGCTTATCACCATCAGAGTTAATCAGAGTCAAGTAATTCACTAAAACCACTATTATTGATAATTATATCTATGATTATCAAAATAAAATGAAATTAGCCGGTGAAGTTTGATATTTGATATGGGCGGTTGCATTCGGTGTTATGATAGATCCCCTTTTTCCAGAGAGCCACTTGGGATAGAAAAGATAAGCCCATAGCATCTTTCAATGACTTATTCCCATACCCATACCCATACCCATAGAGGCTTTTTGGAAACTCAATATGCCTCTCAATCGCTCATTTGTCTACCATCTTAAATTAACATTTTATCGTTTATCGAACTAAAAATGTAACGATTCCCTACAATGAAATTCGTTGTGGTTTAAATTTTGCCTACTAATTAACAATTTAATTTCGCTTCGAAGCTTTAATCGCGCTTTTGTTAAATCCTTTGAAAGATTAAAATCGTGGCTTTTTACTTTTTTTGGCCAATAATTAAGTAAACTTTAATTAAATTTACTTTGCTGAATTTAACGCGAAATATCTTCTTCGATCGCTTTTTTTTGCGTTATTTGCGTACAGAATGCGTATTGCTGAGTTTCGCTTAGATCTGTGACCGATGATTGCTTATTTTCCAAAAAATCGCCTGATTCCACTTGTAGTAGCGATTCCACTTTAATTGGCTTATCTTTGAACGATGTAATTCTGTCGTCAATGATCGTTGGAGAAGCACGAGGAATTGTGGATTCATCACGTTTTCGAACATATTTTCGTTTAGGCTGTGGCTCACTTTGAAGCGTTTCAATTGTATTTTGTACGTGTTGTTCAATTTGTTCGTGTTCTTCGCCTTGGAGTACAGCTAAATAATTTGGTTGAGCGACTTGCACTCGATAATTTGATAAAGTTTTGACGTTTGAAGCAATTTGATATTGATTCCGATCAGTTATACCGCATCTCATCTAAAAAAGAGAAAAAAAATGATAAATATAATCAACAAAGTCTTTTATAAATTAGATTACATTACATTAAGATTGCATTAGTTTGCATGAATCAATTGAAATTCTATAATTTTTAAGTCAAAATTTTTTAACAAACATGCAGCAAACATATTAACTAATCAGCTAATAATTATTCGAACGTTTAATAAATCTTTGGATTTTAACGATTATTAATTAATTAATTAATTTGAGGTGTTTGGCCTTAATTCTTGTTAGCTTTATTTATTTAAAATAGCAATTTTAAATTCTTAAATGGCAAAAGAGCAATAGTAAAATACAATTATTTAGCTAAGATGCATGTATTGCCGTTTGAAATATTTCGTAAATTTTTAGGATAAATTGGCTAAACCGGTAATAATTATTAAAGCAATAATAATTATTAATTATAATTATTATATTATAATTACTATTATTATAATTATTTGCAATAATTTTGCAATTACAAAAAAAATGGATGAGGCTGGGGCTCTATTGCAATTTAAGCAAAGCAATTATTGCGGAATTTTTAGACGATCCGAATAGATAAAAATAATAAACTTTATTTTTTCTGAATATTCCACTAGTTAAAACTATTATTTTTACTCGAAATGTTTTTTGATAGATTAGATTGTCGTCAATTTTGTCGACCAGTGAATATTTTGCAATTAGCCAACGATTTTCGACTCGATAAAGAAATCGATCATCTTTCTGTTCCAAATCTTTACGGAGAAAGAGAAACGTACCTTTCTGGCAAATAGTTTAAGGTGAAATTAATTTCGCTTATATAAAAGTCTTTCGCATATCTCTACGAATACTAAAATACAATTCTATAATATCTCTAATGATAACAATGCAATGACAATGTTATGCTGGTTTTGGAATTATTTTTTACGGTTCTTCCAGAGTTTTTTATGCATCTGCGCTATTGTCCACTTGAATTGCTAACGCTTAAAGGCATAAAATATAAGCATGAAATCTTTTATCTACGAATAATATTTAGTTTCGTTGTAATAAATCTTAAATATTATCAAAAACTAACCTCGAGAATTAAATTCGATGAAGTTGTTTTGGTTTTGGTTCGTCTTCGTCGCTCGTTTGACTGAGGTAAAATATTTGTATCGCTCGGATACGTTTCACCGTTTGCATTTTCCGATTTAATTTCAATTTTTTCATTTTTTGAAAAATTCGATATTTGATTATTATAGCTTTCGGTTGACCATACATCGATGCCCTCATTCGATGCTGAAAATTTGTAGAAAATTCGATTTCTTCTTAATTCATTTTCCGATAAAAAATTGGCTTAAAGTAATTATATAAAAGTGTGAAAAGATTCGCTAAAATATGGGGAAAAAAAGACTCACGATTTGTTATTTCTTCTTCCTTATATATTGTTTGTTGTCCAGAAAATGTGAAAGGTGGCGGAGAAAATCCTGTAGTATTCGTAAATTATGAAAAATAGTGAAGAGAAAATGGCGTGATTTTCGGTCCTAATTTTTCTCTTCTCATTTTAATATCAAATATTACCTTTGCTTTGGTAGACTACGAGGATTTCTAAGCTTTTTTTCCGAGGAGCGATTGCTCTATATTTAAAAGTTAATGATTGCAATTTTAAGGTCCGATGGGATTGCACAAACGGAATCTTTGAAGTGAATCGTTAAATAACAGTCTAAAACTGAACTCACCAAAGTTCGTTAAAACTTGATTTCCTTGCAATTCAGCTAATGTGTACAGATTTTGATTAATATATTGTATGTTAGATGAGTTTCGCATCTTTTGTTCATCATAGCATTGCTGAGAATCTATATTATTGTAAAATTAAGTCACTCGTTTTTAGGCAATATTCGAAAGAGAAAAATGCTTACCCATATTCATTATAATTTCTTGATTTGTTCGCTTATTATCCGATAATGTTGCTGCATAAAAATTTGGAGTGCCATATTGTAGGCAAAGAGATTGGTTTGGCATGTGTTGTGCATTAAAGTGTTGAGGCTGATAGTAACCTATATTTTTATTGGATTATCAAATTAGATAATGATTTAAGCTTGAAAAAAAAGAACTACCTGTATTCGTTAATATTTCTTGATCTTCTCGCAAATCATTATAACCTGTTACAGGCAATTGCAGATTGGGAGCAATACACTGTGAACAAGGAAGCATGCTTGACGATTGTGCTTCATCGTAGTACGATTGCTGATACGAATCTACACTAAGTTAGATCGTTAGATAAAGCGTATCTTAGGTTCAAAAAAAATTGAGGCATACTCGTGAAGTATTCTTGATTTGTTTGCATGCCACCTAATTCCGTTGTTGCATAATTCATATTTGAAGTACCATATTGTGAATCAGGAAAAACGTTTGAAGTATCATATTGTGAATCAGGAAAAGCATTTGAAGTACTATGTTGTGAATCAGGAAAAGCGTATGACATTTCTTCGTAGTATCGCTGTTGAAATGAATCTAAGTTCTAAATGAATTATAAATTTTCAGTATCAACGAACATTACGAGATCGAGGATATGGAACAACTTGGATTGTAAAAAAAACCATATTTCTGGAAATAATTATGCGATAGAAAATTAATAAAATAATCGTTCTATTGTAATTTGATAATGTGAAAATCTTAAAATTTGTGCAAATTTTCTAAAAATTTTCTCCATAATTTTCGAAACAAACATTCATTTATTTAATTTTAGGTTAATAAAAATTCTTAAGGGAGAAAATCATATCATTTCACTTATGAAATAGTGAACCAATTGAACCAAAGGATCCTTAAGAAAACCGCTATAACCGCTACAGTATAACTTTACATTCCATTCACTTGCTTGGCACTTAAAATGAGATTTAGCATCGAGAAAATGATAAAATCACCTTATATTGAAAAGAATTGCGGTTAAACATCGAATCGTTGCTTTCCATTCTTTTTTTTCTGCAAAATAAATATTTTTTATTTCAGTCCATTCATTTTACATTCGCAAAAAAAAACTAAAAAGCAATTTAAAAAATTTACACATTCTAAAATATCGGAAAACTTTTTCATATTATTCACAGTTCAATTTAAAAATATCTAAAATTTTCTTAAACTTCCAAAATACTTTCCAAAAAAAGGAAAATTTTTAGAAATCTCCATTCGCAAAATTATAATAAATGCAAGGAATGAATTAAACAATTTTATACAAATAAATTTTTTTATGCAAATGAAATAATTCTCGCCATATTCATTATTCATAAAAATTCGTAAAAATTTAAAGTTGTTTGCCACGTTTGCAAATTTTCCTGAACGAATCACTCATTCATTTTTCATGTTTTGGTCATTTTTTAAGAAGCTTATTTCTTTTTTTAAATAAATGCCCAGAGAATTTTGCCAAAGTTCAATGGTATTTATATGCAATCAACTTCGGAGATATCTAACCTATTTATAATGCATCCAAAGAACTGAAACTGAAAGGATAAAATTAGCCTTAAAAAATGACTCAATCAGTACAATTTTTAAGATTTTATGGCCAACAGAATGAAATCCTTGCCAATATCACTCGTAGTTGTTTGTCTTAGATAGGAGGTAGCATTTTAATTATGAAAGTTTATTTCACTATGCAAAGTTTAAACTGACTTTTCTCTAAATTTTACTTCAAATTTAAGATATCTTAAGACATGCTTATTATTAATCGTTCAACAGTGATTAATAGATTTGCGGCCACAGATGTGAACACTTGTCTTTAAGTCCGTATATTTTGGTATATAAATCAGTAGCTTACAGAAAAAAATGAAGTCATATTCGCTAAAATTTGGTGATCGAGTAAGAATCGCTAATTATAATAACGAATTGTGAGAAACTGCACAGCTATATGCGATTGCCTTGGAATTCGGAGATATCAAAAGTATTAAAGTTGATTGCAGTACTTTCTCATATTTTTGAAATTTAATGGCTAGTAGACTGAAATCTTTCGCTCGATCACTCGTAGTCGCCTATGTTAAATCATGAAAACTTCATCATGCAAAGCCTAAAATGTTTTTTCTAAATTTTGCTGAAAAATAAAAACAAACTTCGATGCATAAATAGTATTTTATGTTCGTGCAAGCATTCAAAATGCTAATTTCTTTAAAGCCAAGTGGAAGATTATTGGAGAAAACCTGTGTGATCTTTTATATTCTCATTTATATTCTATTCTGCCAAAATCTCAGTATGAATTCAGCATGTTGGCAAAGTTGGAATTGTAAAAAAAAGCAACTAAAACGACGGTCCAAGTTGCATTGCATTCTTCACTTAGATTTCATTTCAAAATGAAGAATCGAAATCGAAGAATAATATTATGGTGTTGATTTATAAGTGGTACTCGAAAACAGTTTTTGCTGCTCCTAAAGTCACTTTTTTGAATGGTGATGAAGCAGTTTTGATCAAAAATAGGGTTATTTATTAGGGTTATTTTATTTGCATTATCAATAAATTTAAAATTTAAATATTTATCATATCTTTTATATTTTATCTTTATCTTTAAAATATTTCATCTATTAAGTTTTACAGCTTATCAATATGGAATCAACAGGCATCTATTTATTATTGCAAAGAAAAAATTTTAACATATATTTTAGTTTCTATTATATTTTTGAAAATTTGAAAATTTTGAAAATTGAGAAGATTCTTTAGGATGTAAGCCGATTAACAAAAGTCACTGTATACGAAGTGGCAAAATCCAGTGGAATGCTATCCTTACAATCTTCGGATTCGAGATAGTTTTTGTGGAAGCAGACTGAAAATCCTAATGATCTCCTTTTCCCCATATACACAAGTATTTCATATAGTTTACATTAGTTTGATCGAAGTTCTAACTGATATTTCGATACATTATAACTAGTATTTCAGTAAAATATGCTTGAATTAATGCTTAAGGTTAATTTTAATGAATACTTTCTTAATAACAACTTTATATTTATAAAAATACAGACTTCATTTAGTCTCCGGTAACCATATCAAAATCGATCAACCCTTTAATCCTTTGTTCCGTAAGCCTGTGCCGGCGGTTCCTGATTCATATTCGCTTCTCGATGCATTAAAATTATGGTCTGATATTAATGAAGGACATCAGTTTCGATTCATTTTATCAATATCAATATCCTGAACTGGTATACAATTCTTTTATACAATTTATTATGCCTTTAATATGAAGAAAACATAGAATATCCTAAAAAGTAAGTAAGTAAAATACTAAGTTAAGCATAAGAATTATAATTGAAAATTAACGGCAACTAATTTGACAGAAGTAAAACCTTCCTTGTAACCAAAAAATTACGTTGCGGATAATCTTAACTGTTTTGTCTTGAAATTAACTTCCATTTAAGTGAATTTGCAGCTGAATAAGTTGTAGATAAATCAACAATTGCATATAGTTTGCAAATAATTGGAATTTTAATTTACACATAGTGGTAAATAATTCCTGAATTCAAGAAATAATTGAATAAGAATGAGCAAGAAGAATGCCTTGTGAATCCTAAAAATTATTTACTGTAAGATAAACTGATTGATGGTCGAACACCATTAATGATTGCTGTTGAATTGGGCTTATGGCGTGCTGTTGCAGCGCTCCTTTCTCGTGGTGCTAACGCCGAGATATACGATGAACATGGAAATAGTTTGTACCACATCGCAGCAAAAAAGTTCGTGATATATACAAATTTCTCTATCAAAAGAGAATTCTAAAAAAATTTAAGAAAATAAAAGTTTAGGAATTTCATATTAAAGTTTTAATTTTTATAGATGTGTCCAATAATCTTAACTTTTAGGCGCTGTAGAAGAGTCATTCAAGAATTTTTAATATTTAATGTACCCGGTATCAATCGAAAAAACTTCATCGGTTAGACGGCATTACATCTGGCGATATATAATAGGTCCATTGCTTGCACCGATCTATTACTCACTGCACCATATGTTAATCCAAATATTCAGGTATATCGTGAAATATTCTCTAGCGAGGTAGATGGCAGAATCAGCGATCGATTAATTCAAAATATTTTGGAATATTTGAAACCAGCATGCAGAGAATAGCTAACGGGAAATCTAGTTCTGAGCAATTTTACTAAGAATAATATTATCAATTTGATTTAAGGACGATGATGGCAATACTCCTCTCCATGTTATCAGTGAATTGAAATCTTCATATATGCGTGATGCTATATTAAGTCGCCTTCTTTCGTTTCGCAATATTTCTCATACAATCATGAATAACGAAGAACTTGTGCCACTTCAACTTGCGATTATGAAAGATCAAGCTAGGTGAATGGACCAGCTTTTAGCTGAGCTTTAGCTTATGAAACTTTCCAAATTATTATCGAAATTTGCAAAGAATAAATATTCAGGATCATGCGAATGACTCTACAAGTGGCGCCATATCTTTTGAATTTTTACTCTGCCACCTTTGCATCTTGCTGTTGCATGTGGTAAACCAGCTGCTCTTCATGCCATTCTCGAGGTAAATCGATAAGAAATGTAAAAATAAATTTAATTTTGTTAATATACCATATTTGTTAATATGGTAAGAATCGGGTGATGCTGGCGACTCACCTGTACTTCTATCGTCAAAGGACTCCCTGGGATAATGCTCAATGCGACAAGCCAGTGGAGCGAGTTTAGCCAGTAATGGTGAGGATTCTTAAGAAAAAAGAAAAAAAGAATAAGAATATCTCGAGAATAGCACTGGCTTGTAAAAATTAGGGGAAATTTATAGTTTATTAACCGATGTGAATGTAAGAATACCTCGAAATAAAACAGCGCTACATTCTGCTGTTGCTCAGTGCGAAAAAAAAAGTGAAAAGATTTTGAAAAGGCTAAATTGCATTCAGGTTGTTTTTTTTTATACCTTATACAATTTATCTGAAATTTTTGAAAATCTGTTTTCTACCATAGTATATTTTCTACCATTCTATTTTCTACCATTCTTATTTTAGCTCATTCCGTTGACTACTAAGGACGGTGCATTTAGATAATCATTCCGTACTGTTTGGAGCTATGGATGAGTCGTGAACAACTACCCAAATTTTACCTTTTTGGCTCATGTTTTACTCTCACTCGAAGCGTAAGATATGCGATATCTCAATAATAAAGTTTTAAATGCGAAGTTTTTATGAAGTTTTTTACAGCTTCTGCTTTCTCACGGAATAATGTTGAATGCTCGAGATAAGAATGGTGCAAAGGCACTTCACGTAACCGCTATAGCTGCGAATTGCTTTTCTCAGTTTCAAAGCGAGGAACTTCGTATCCTAACACGAATGATTTGGGTTAAAAGCTTTTATCTTTTTTTGATATTATCATTCCGCTAAAAGGCGATATATATTTGATTGATGTGAAAAAAACTTGCATGCTTTACTTGCACCTCAAAGCAACAAGGTTGGCTGATATTTTTGATACGAGCACTAGCTCATTAAATTGGTCATACTATTTAAATTAGAACAAAAGAAAGCAAAATGATAGAATAAAAGTTTATTTTCAGCCTTTAGAACTATTGGCAGTATTACTAAGCCCAAATTCGCCCCTTGCAACCATCTGCTTTTTGATATCGCGTGGTGCTAATCCCTACATTACTGATAATTCAGGTCGATCAATACTGGACATTTTTAATGATAAGCTATCATTGAAGTCTTTAGTGGAGTTGCAAATCTCAAAGTAAATTGCTATCGATTATTTTTTGGATTATTTTAGATAAACAATAGATTTGAAAAAATATGGCATATTTATAGTAAATTCTTGTTTTATTAATACTCATTGTTAACTGATTAAAAAATTACGGAGATTTTTTGGTGAGAAAAAAGAATTGCACACATCCAATTCGTTCATATGTGCATGAAATTGTGATAACTTGGCGAATGTTATTTTATTGCCTTGCAATCATCGAGTTATTTGCTATGAATGTGCAATTAGCACTTTTTTCAGACGTTGTCCACTTTGCTGCGAATATATAACGACTGTAAAAGTTTTTGGTAATTCAAGAAATTTATGAATCTAAGTTATCAAATTTTAACCATTCTTCTTAGCCATCACTAAACATAAATATTATCATATTTTCAGATGGTAGAAAAATCGCAATCGGTAAGGATATTGCAGTGAAAACTTCTAAAAATTCTAAGCTAGAAAATACTGTAGAAGTTGGTTGCGAGAAAAAAAGACAAGGTTGACTTTGAATCAAAGCGAAATGACAAATGACTAATTTATGTGAGGGGTTAAGGGAAAGAAGGATTGAAGTGAAGTGGTATGTTGCTTTAGATAAAATACTATGGGTTCGACGACGGAAGTAAATCTTTCATTAAAAGTGGAATCCAAGTGGAAAGTAGAATATTGTAGACCCACTTGTACTTACTTTTCTGGCCAAAAGATCTTCCTTGAATGATCCGAAAATGATAAATGATATTTAAAAAAAAATAATCTTTTATTCAATCAAATTTGTTCAGACGGTGGTTCATTCGAAGATTATGTATATGATTATACGTTGAAAACGAAATAAAACAGAATACAAGTAGATATTTCGATATTTGTTCATTATTCGTATAGGATTATTTCTAAGATATCTTTTTTTTTCAGATGAAAGAATTCAGAAACTACAAGATAAATTGGATAAATTAGAAATGGAAATCAATTGTCCGATTTGCCTCCATCGAAGATTGTTTTTGTAGATTCAAAGATTTGTTTTAATATTGTTTTTCAGTGCGGTCATGCAGTATGTGCTGATTGCAGTAGAGAAGCTCAACTGAAAATCTGCCATATTTGTAGGCAAAAAATTAAAAAGCGTACAACACTTTATATATGGACTGAAAGTGGATCAACTTAAATCTATTTAATATTCTCAATGGGATAAATAAATAAAATAAAATAAAATAAAATTTTTTTTTTTAGATTATTGTGTTTTTTAGATTATTGCACTCGTTTATATTATATTAAATCAGCAAATTTTTTTATTAAAATTTCTCTGTTGGATAATTATTAATAAATCGTATTATTTATACGACTATCAAAAAGCTTGCTTTGATTTGAATCTTATTATTATTCTCACACGAAGGTGATAATAAAATAAATTTTATGATAATTCATATTTGTGATAATTTTGTGATAATTCATATTTGCCTCAATAGTTTTATCTAAAACATCGTTCACATTTTTTTTTAATTCTCTAGTTATTATATTATATTTATTTTCATTTAAAATAAAAAATATTTGATGAAATTAAAAATATTTTTTATAAAATTAAATTGCATTTTGCGATGATTTCAACGGTTAATATATAATATATAAAAAATTAATAAAGATATTTTAAGAATTTCAACTTACTTAACTTACTATATATTTGAAGATTTCTTTTAGATGCATGACGAATGATTTGCGAGTGGTTGACGTAGAAGATCGTTAGCATTCTTCTTATTGTTTCGACGAATCAAATGTTGATCAGAATTTGATAGGAAAAAATTTTCGGTGATCAACGAATTACGGCGACACCGTTTACAGATCGTACTGAAGATCATTAATTGCATTAGTGATTAATGATAAACGGATAAACCAAACATTCTATAATTCTCATAATCAATCGTTCGATAATGATTCGCGATTTCAGCTTTATTTTCAGATATCGCTCATTTACCTATTTCCTTCTGTTTCCTTTTTAATATTACGATTTAGCAGTTAATTAACGAATACTTTCTGAACATCGATCGAAATTCTCGAATACGAAAATAGCAAAGCGGTTGCAGAAGGGAATGTAAACACATCAACGATTGAAATATCCAACGAACATAATACATTTTAGAACGAGAAAGCCCCGTACGGAAAAATCTAAAGAGAAATAAAAATTAATTAAAAAAAAGAAATAATGATTATTTAAATAAATAAATATATAATTATATTGAACCTTGTAAGACGACCAACATAAAGAATTTGAATTGCAGAATATGAGATCAGATATACCGTGTAAATTGCAATAACACTGCCGATTACGATCACATATTTATTCCTCTTCAACAATTGCATACGATCACGTTTAGAATGTCCTTAAATTATAGCGAATAGCTAACTATAGCGAATTATTTTATATATAAATTTCCAAGAATAAATTGGCAAATCTAGCAAGTCAAGTAGTGCACTGAGATTAGACAAAAGAAAGGAAACCAAGAGTTTTTACTATAGTTTATACCATAGGAAAAATAAATCTGAAAATAAGTACCAACCACTATTTTCCAGACAATTTTGATACTCCGTTCCTCTCATAAGCTGAAATTTTATGAAATAAGCAATAGCAGCAATTTTTCCAATTTTTTTTTTTCAACTTTACACTTAAATTTTGAATCAATTTTTAAATTGCAATATTTTTTATTCTCGAAAAATCCTAATTAGACTTTTTTCCAAAGAAAAATCGCACTCCTCGCATATTTTGAATGCTTAGCTATTTCTCAATGCAAATTTCCTTACCTTAGCATCACTTTTAATGATTTTCGAAATCACTCGAATCAAAGTCGTATAGCAAATGAACGATATTATAAGACAAAATGAGCAAAATGCAATTATGCCCATATTGAAAGCAAATTGAGTTTCAAGGATGACATTGGTGCGAACGATGCAAGCTGAATTACTTTTATTTTAACGAATAAAATGAATTTGGTGACATAATTTGCCATACTAAAAATTGTGTAAAAATGCTTTTAAAATTAGATTATCCATTGAATTCTGCTGATGGTTTGAAGGCTTTTCATTTTTTTTCTTATATTTCAGAATTTCTAAAAATTAAAAAACCTCAAATAAAAGCAAAGAAAAGGAAAGAAAAAATTTTGGCTCACAAGAAGGAATTGGAGCGACCGAAATATTCGATGAAGACGCATTTGGCCAACGCTCTAAGAATAAAATTAGTCAACTTAGTGCAAATTTTTATGTTTATGAATACATGAATAGAATTGATATTTTAGATAAAAGAACTGAATTAAGGTTTGTTAAGTGAGTTTTTCCGCATTAGATAAGCTTATAACTAAAAAAGTGGTATTTCGTTTTGTAAAGCCAAAGCCAATATATAGCATTTTAGCTCCATAATCCTTACAATTTGAAAACTATATTTTCCATTCTGATAAAGTCTTTCCAAGGCTTTTTATGAGACATAAGAGATAAAATAAACCTAGTGGGATGCAGTTTGGCTTTATGTAAATCGACTGTTCGCGAGAACCAGCGATTAATACAGAGAGTGTAAAAGTCCAAGCCAATACCATGCATAAAACAATTAGAAATAATACACGCCATCTGAAATATTGAAATGCTTTTTTAGAAACGCCATGAAGACCTTAAAATTTCTCTCTCAGAATGCTATTTTCATTTTTATTTTCATTTTTTTTTTTACATTTCCTTTTTTAAAATCCGCTAATGAATTTTAATCATGTCACATACCTCAAGAGAGATAATTTTTTTTGACAGAATTCTTATGGAACCAAATTAATTTTTTTTTTTTTTGAGTTATCAAAAAGATTTTTATAATATTTAATACAAAAATCGAGTTAAATTTTTCAGATAATAAGAGTCAAATGATTTATATAATCGTTGTTTTGTTAAAATTCTTTCTTATTTTGTGAAACATTTCATTCTAATTCTCAAAGCTATAACCAACTGGAAAAAAAATCACCTCGTTACAAGTTGTCGGTACCTCAGTGGATATACTATAAAAATATATTCATTTATAGTTATCATTAGAAGGTTTAATATGGTTGCAAGATTCGTGTACCGTAACGCCATTAGGACCAATTGATCGATTTTCATAAATAGCATTGATGATGTGGCACCAATCGGAAGTAATTTTAATGCCCATATGATCGAGCAAATACCTAAATCAGGAATAACTTTTCGTCCTATTGAAAAAATTTTAGTGTCAGATCTAAGAAAAAAATGGCGACAAAGTAAGGTGACTCTAGGTCTAGATTTTGGCTTATAATATTGAAATTTAAATATGAATTGAACTTTTCCAGAATATAGCAACCTACTTTTGATGAGGTCGATAAATGCAAAATTGAAGATCAGTATGTAGAAAACGTGGGCGAACAGATTGCTTCGACGGAGAAATAGCGTAAACAAAATAGTTGCATTAATAAGGAATGCTGCTATACCTGAGGTTATAAAGATTAACCCGAAGGTATAAGCAGCATCAAGTGGTACATGCATCGAAATTGTCGACGTTCTAAATCTTACATAGATAATCATTTTCGCGCAAAATAATGAAAAATAAATGATAAGAATCCAAAAGAAAAAAGAATTGGAATTAATAAACGTTTAGATATGAGCAAAAAATTTTAGATTTTGCAAAGGACAACAAATATCTAAAAAAAAAATAAATAAATATCTAAAAATTAAATCATAAATTAATATTTTCCAGTTGGATGATTTTATTAAAATTTTTTAATATTCAATATAATTTTCTCTTAAACTGGAATGAAAATTGAAGTTCGTTCTTTTCTTTATTTATTGTACTTATAAGTTTAATAAATTATCATTTATGAAAAAAAAATTTTCATGGAAAATTATTTTATGAACGAAAACTTATTTGACAATTCAAGCACTTGCACTTTTGATTATTATTTCTTTTTTGTTTTAATCGTATTTGCTATTTTTAGTTTAACTTTCTCGACTAATTACTAGGATGAGATATTTACATCACAGAAGAGTCATTTGGCAAAGGCATAAATTTTTAGAGTTTCCAGAAGTGCATTCATTTTTAACCGCAGATTTAGTTCGGCTGATGGACAAGAATCAAATTTATGTTCTAGGCAGCAACCACGGCTTATTATTATGTACAAAAACTACTTTTTGTATTAAGAAAAACTACCATCACGGGTTAGAAATAAAATATTAAGCGAAGAGGCTTCCCAATTAAAATTCCCTTAATACTTAAGGGCACAAGAGCTTTTTCGATCATTTTTTAACAGGTATTTTAAGGGTGCAGGAAATTTAAGCATTAAGTCGTTAATTCTAAAGTGCATCTGGTATTGCTCAATTTAAAGCTGTCAATAGCTTGAGCCTGATTTTTGAAAAGATAAATTTGGATTGTTAAAAAATCTTGATAATGGTGATTACCCATTCATAAGTCCATCGTCTCCTTAATAAAATTTGAATTTTTATAATGAAAACGAGTAATTTTTTTTAAAAAATTAGCCATTTTCTCATAAGATTTAAACTGCATCAGTAGGATTGAAGCTGATAAAAAACTGCAAAATACCTAGATAAGCAGACTAATCTTAACCTCAAAAATAATCCATAATCTGGATCAAAATAACTTTTAATAATAAAGGAGTGTTGCAAAAAATTTCATTCAAATATTTAAATCGTAATTAGTTTTTAAAAAAAGAGACTTTACATTCTCTTAAAAATAAAAATCAGTTTTGATTTAATATCTTTCTTTCAGTAGAGACGTATCTTTTCTAATTAGAGTGATAATAAGTGATAAGCGATATCCTAAAGGTGATACCCTGCTCACATTTCAAAATGAATGAAAAATGGAGATAGAATGCTCAGAGGGTTGCTGCTCGATTGGGAGCGCGGATGCTGAGGTTCGATTCCTCGCAGGAGTAAACCTGTACAAAATTCCGAGTGATCCTTGCGACTCACCTATATTTCTATCGCCAAGGGACTTCCTGACATGTCACCCAATGCGACAAGCCAGTGGAGCGAGTTTAACCAGTAATAATGAGGACTCTTTAAAAAAAAAATTGAATGCGAAATGCGAAACTAGATTTTATTCCATACACTTTAAGGCTAAATTTGAAGGCTATAAAGATCCATTTTAAATTCAATTTTAATAATTACCTGCTCAGATTAGCCAATGACATCATCTTTTCGATATTTTTGCATATTTGCGCTGTTTCAGGCTAAATTATGCTGCCAATATTGAAATTTCTTAGAAGAATCACCATCATCATTGGCCAAATCTAAAAATTAAAATTGGTTCATTATTATTGAAAAATTCAACAGCTGTGGAAAATTTCGAGAAAAATAATTTTTGAAAAAAAATTATTATTGCATTGGTTAGATTAAAGATCTTAGATCTTCAACGATTTCCCATATAATAATTATTAATTATAATTATTTTAAAAAAACTGAAGTATTGAGAAAAAAATTATTGGATTAAAAAGATAAATGAAAAGGAATTTTGAAAAAGTTTCAGGATAGGAATTAATATTTAATAAAATTATTGAATAATTTAATAAAATATTTAATTGGATTTATCGCTTTTGAGAAAAATAAATTAGGAATATATTATATAAAACATTATGTCGATTAAAAGAAAATTTATTAAACGTGATTTAAAAAAAAAAAACAAAAAATAACTGAAAATAGAAAATAGAAATATTATAATTCTTAGGTAATTTATATAGCCAAAGGCTATAATTAAAGCCTAAATCAGGTGCTAAATAAACCCAATGACATTTAGTTTTTTTTTAAAAGAAAAATTTGAGCGATTGAGCAATTTAACAGGATTTGTTGCACTATTCTGACAACTTTTCACTCAATTTTGATTTTGACAGCACATTTGTTTTAAAGCGAATGTATAATCATATTTGAGACTGTGCGAATGTTCCTGAATTTTATCCATCCATTCCGAAATTTTAGAGCATGATTTACGTGATTTATTATTAACTTCGTTTCAAATGCTGATAAATTTCTATCATTCTTATCATTCTTGAATGGAAATAGCCTATCTAAATGATATTTCTATGAATAATTAAGAGAATAAATGCTTACCATTTCCCAATATGCTCGTTCCACTAACTATTAATATATTAAATTTTCACGAACTCTTTTACTAATAAATTTTTATACGATGATAGAAGTACAGTTGGAATGGTACTCGACTTTAATGAGAGGTTTACTTTCCTCTCCTGCCGAAAACCTCTAATTTTCAAGACGACAATCTGAATAGCAACCACTATGCATTCCTACTTCCAGTATATTCCAACTTTCAATCTAATTTTTTGGTTATTAATCGAATGATGCGTAAATGAAATGGTGAGAATATTTCGAAGTAGTGCAACCAGATGAGCTCAAAAGTGGAATTGATGATGTGGTCGATTTAAAATTAAGTGGTACATTAGCGAAATTGAAAATGATAATTGCCATTGAAAAAGTGTTTTTGATATGAAAACTAGAAAATTTTTGATGAAGCTAGCTAGATTAATAAATCCTAATAATGGAAAATGAAAAAAGTTTTGCGCAGAAAATATCCTAGTACATGGGAGAATTTTGAAATAAAAAAGCTCTCTCTTGAAACTAAAATTGAAGATTTTTTTGGCGAGGACCATTATAATACAGTGGATCTTCTTCTAAATCCAAAATTTTTATACAAACTTATGTCTACTAAATAGATAACATCTAAAACATTACTTAGCTAGTATTATATTATATTATACTATAAGAATGGTTTAGCCAGTATTAAGCTCTAGGATTCGGCTCTACCTCCTATATTTATAAATCTATAATGAAATGACTAGCTAAAAAAGCCGTTGTGAAAAGAATAAACGAAGTGGGCGAATAAGGCAATGCACGATAAACTGACGACAGCGCTGAATCGAGTTTTCAATATTTTCCATACAATGAATCAGCCAAATTTTTTGTAGATTATTGTAGAGTGCCAGTTTTGCTAAATTTTTTCCCCAGAAAATATATTTAAATCAACGAAGTTATTTTGGTTCCAATCGACTGGAAATGATAATTTTTTTACGAGAGAAATTTGAAAATATTTCCTAAAAAATACATTAATAACTCTTATCTGATGCAGATTAATAGCTTTTTTTTTAGCCCCGCAACCACTTATGAATCAGAACCAAAACCATTCTAATATGGATGCTTAATCTCGAAAAAAAAAAGATTTACCTCTTATATATACGAATTCATTGCAAATTTCCGTGTTTTTTAAAGTAAATTATTTATTCATTCACTAAAAATTATTTGTGCACTAAAAAAAGTAGAGAAAAATGGAGGATATATTTTTCTCTTATAACAGTACTCATCATTACTGGTTAGGCTGGTTCCGCTGCTACAAGGGTAAGACATCCACAAGGGTAAGCTGCTCGGTCCAACGCCATAGCTATTAGTAATAGAAGCAATTCCTTTTCCCATCGTCTAAATACATATATCGCTGGTGCCTTTGTGAATTCAAAATCTTTCCTGACTGTATCAGTCCAGATCTTGACTGGCCCTCCTCGTTGTTAGCTAGGCGGATACATTAGTGAAAAAAAATCCACTGATTGAAAATTTATAGTTAACAATTGGCTAATAAAAAAATAAAACAAAAGAGTAATAATATTAGTGAATGAAAAATATAAACGCAAAGAATGAAATGAAAAACTATGCCAATATTTTCGCCTTATATAAGGTCACGATAGCCGAGTATATAGTGTTTTTCGTGTTATTATAAGGTTGAGAGGAAAGATTTAGACTTATCATTGTCATTAGAGAAAAATCTGGTTAACAATCCACTTTTATGGCCATGAATTTTTCAAAAAAATTCCAAAATTCTTGCTGAACAACCCAAAAATAGTAAACTTTTTTACTTCTTTACTTATTTATTCAACTGTGGAGTTTTCTTTGAAGAAAAATCGTAACATCTCGAAGTGCTCGAACAAGTTAAAAGCTTTAAGATCGCAAATTTTTAAAGAATTATTTGGATCAGTTGCAATATCAAAAAAAAATTGGCTAAATTTTAGAGGAGAAAAGAAAGAATTCATAGAAAGAATGAATTCAAAAGAATGAAGCCATTGTCATCATTTTTAGTTAAAAAAAATTTCATGAAACCTTCTAGTGTGTGAATTATTGCTAACTATCAACTTCGATTTCATTAAAATGCTCACCAAAAAGGAATTTTTTATGAATGAAAATCGTTTTCTTCCCATAGATAAAAAATCATAATGGGATTATTAATCAATCTATTTTTATTATTTCTAAAATTATTTCTGCCTTTTCTATTCGAATTTCCCCTATATGAAATGAATAAAAAGTTTTCCAAGCAAAATCAACTGTTAGAAATTTCATAAATGAAAAACCAAAAGGCTTTCTTCTTTGGATCTATAATCTCTTAATTTTAAATAATTCTCCAAGGTATATAGATTATGGATAATTTTTTTAAAACAACGTGACTCTTTTTTTTGCTTTAGGCTATATTATTTTTTTCGAAAATTCAAAAATCTAATCTACAAATGCAAGTAGCAGCAAATATTTGAACAATGAAGAGTCAATACAACAATGCAATAAAAATAATTATATTTTCAAAACTCTTTCTAATACGAGTCCAAAATTGAATCAAATTTATCAAATTTATAATAATAAC